ATGGACATGGGTTTGAGCAAACTCTAGGATATAGTGAAAGACAAGGAAATGTGGCATGCTGCAGCCCACGGGGTTGCAAAGAGTTGGACACAACTTAGCAACTGAACAACAACAAAGTCTCATGTAATAGGGTCACCAAATTCTGTGGTGAAGAAACACCTGTTGAATGAGTGAGGAGCTTGGGGTTTAACAGACTGGTGACAATGTTAACACTGACGTTACTTTACATGTGCTAAATATGTAACTGGCTTCTCAGGTGGCAGAATAGTAAAAAATCCACCTGCCAGTTCAGGAGACAGGGGAGATGCAGTTTCGATCCTTGGGTCAAGAAGATCCCCTGGAGTAGAAAATGGCAATGTATTCAAGTATTCTTGCCTGGAAATTTTCATGGATAGAGGAGCCTGGTGAGCTATAGTCCATGGGGTCGCAAAGAGTTGGATGACCTTGCATGCACACAAATATGTAACTGTACTGTGTTGCCTTCCTTCATTCATTTTCTCACTCTTCTGAACAATTATTTCAGAGCTTTTTTCCCTTTGGATTTTCAGTACTTCCCCTTTCTGACTTTTGATTGATCATGTTGTCTGTTTCACTAAGAAGATAGAGACAATACAAAGAGACCCACAAGAACCCCCACCATATCTTCCCCACTCAAGTGTCCACATTTCCACCTTCTCTGCTATTTCAGATGAACCATTGTCTTTTTAAAAAATTTATTTTATCATTTGTTCTATTAAAGTATAGTTGATTTATAATATGTGGGAGAAGGAAATGGCAACCCACTTCAGTATTCTTCCTGGAGAATTCCATGGACAGAGGAGCCTAGCAGGTTACATACAGTCCATGGGATCACAAAGAGTTGGACATGACTGAGCGACTAACATGCACATTGCATTAATTTCTACTATATGTTAATAGCAAAGTGACAGTTATATATATTTCTTCATATTCTTTTCCATTATGGTTTATTACAGGATATGGAATATAGTTCCTTGTGCTATACAATGCTGTGCTTAGCCTGCCAGGCCCCTCAGTCAGTGAGGATTCTCTGTGGCAAGGATACTGGAGTGGGTTGTCATGCCCTCTTCCAGGGGATCTTCCCAACCCAGGGGTCAAACCTAGGTCTCCCACATTGCAGGCAGATTCTTTACTGTGAGCCACCAAGGAAGCCCAAGAATACTGGAGTGGGTGCCTAGCCTAGCCCTTCTCCAGGGGATCTTCCCAATCCAGGAATTGAACTGGGGTCTCCTGCATTGCAGGCAGATTCTTCACCAGCTGAGTTACCAGGGTAGCCCATACAGTGCTATGCAGTAAGACCTAGTTTTTATCCATCCTATGTGTTTTTACGTCTGCTCATCCCAAACTCCCAATCCTTCCTTCCCCTCCTCTCTCCACCTTGGCACCATAAGTCTGTTCTCTATGTCTGTGAGTCTGTTTCTGTTTTGTAAATAAGTTTATTTGTGTCATTTTCTTATATTCTACATATAAGTGATACCTGGTATCTGGTTTTCTCTTTCTGACTTACTTCACTTAATATGATAATCTCTACATCCATCTATGTTGGTGCAAATGGCATTTCATCCTTTTTATGGCTAATATTCCATGGTATGTATAATATATACTACATTTTCTTTATCCATTCATCTGTCAGTGGACATTTAGGATGTTTCTATGTTTTGGCTATAGTAAATAATGCTGCTGTGAACATAGGGGTGTATGTATCTTTTTAAATTATAGTTTTGTCCAGATATATGCCCAGGAATGGGATTGCTAGATCATATGGCAATTCTATTTTTAGCTTTTTGAGGAACCTTCACACTCTGTTCCATAGTGGCTGCACCAGATTATATTCCCACCAATAGTCACACCCCCTTCAGCATTTATTATTTATAGATTTTTAAACGATGGCCATTCTGAACTAGTATGAGGTGGTATCTCATTGTAGTTTTCATTTACATTTCTCTAATAATTAGCAATATTGAGCATCTTTTCATGTGCCTGTTGGCCATCTGGATGTCTTTGGAGAAATGTCTATTTAGGTAGATGAACATTCTTCTCATAGCAGAGGGCAGCCCCTCCGCATGTGCCCTAAAAGCCCTCCCCTCTGGCCGCCTTGATGGTGACGCTTCCGCACCTCTGTCCATGTATCATCACATCTTCTTTCTCTACTGGATCTTTCCATCAGCTTAAAAATGTGCTGTTACCTTCCCCAACCTAAAAATACCTTTCCTGTCTCCATATTCCTTTTGCTTTGAAATAAAACTCCTCAAAAGGATTATCTGTACTTGCCATCTCCAGTTTCTTCTCTCTGTTCTCTTGAACCCAATTCATGCTGTTGTTCAGTCACCAAGTCGTGTCCAACTCTTTGTGACCCCATGGACTGCAGCACACCAGGTTCCCCTGTCCTTCACTATCTCTCAAGAGTTTGCTCAAATTCACATCCATTGAGTTCAGCGATGCTATCTAACCATCTCAGCCTCTGCTGCTCCTTCTCCTTTTCAATCTTTCCCAGCATCAGGGTCTTTCCCAATGAGTCTGCTTTTTGCATCAGGTGGCCAAAGTGTTGGAGCTTCAGCTTCAGCATCAGCCCTTCCAGTTCTGGGTTGATTTCCTTTAGGATTGACTGGTTTGATCTTGTAGTCCAAGGGACTCTCAAGACTCCTCTCCAGCACCACAATTCAAGAGCATCAACTCTTTGGGGCTCAGTGTTCTTTATGATCCAACTCTCATATCTGTACATCACTACTGGAAAAGCCATGGCTTTGACTAGATGGACCTTTGTTGGCAAAGTAATGTCTCTGCATTTTAATACACTGTTTGTTTGTCATAGCTTTTCTTTTTTTTTTTTTGTCATAGCTTTTCTTTCAAGAAGCATCTTTTAATTCCACGGCTGCAGTCATCATCTGCAGTGATTTTGGAGCCCAGGAAAATAAAATCTGTCACTGTTTCCACTTCATGTTTGCCCTCTAGCTGAGGTCACCAGGGGCCTCCATAAAACCCAATCCAGTCATCATTTCCAGTCCTCTCAACATTTGACTCAGCTAGTTCTCTCCTCTTTGATACACATTCTTTCTTGAATACAGTAGTCCTGAATACTGTACTCTCCTGGCTTCCCTTTCATCCTTCTGGCCCTTCTCTCTTATCTACTTGTATCTTCATTTTGTATTTCCTCTCATTTCCTTGGTTATCTCTGGGTGTCTTTTGACTTCTAAATCCGTATTGTCAACTCTCAAGTTCATGTATTCCTAGGCTATCCCCATCTCCTCTGAACTCCAGACTCCCTTATTCAATTCTCTACTTAGCGTCTCACCTTGGACGTCTAATAGATTCACCAAATGACAACATTTCCACCTCTTGCTCCCACACTGTTTCTAGAGCTGTCATCTTTGTTTTACCTTCATCTCACTTTGCAGCGTCATTCTTGTGGGCCAAAAACCTTAATGTCACCTTGATTGCAGTAATTATCACAATCTGGTTGTCTAGAAGTCTCACTGTTAGAATAGCAACTGAATTGGCAAAGATTTATGAGAGGCCAAGGAAATTATAAAGGCTACATTTAAGTAGTCATGTTTTAGTCAAAATCAGTGTATTAGTCTTAAGTTCTCCAGATAAATAGAACCAGTAGGATATGTATATACATAGGGACTTACTAAAAGGAATTGGTTCCTGCCATTATGAATGCTGAGAAAGTCCCAATGTCAACATGGCAAGCGGAGACCCAGGAGAACTATGGTGTAGTTTCAGCCTAAAGGCCCACAGGCTCTAGACCCAGGAAGAGCCAAACTTTCAGTCTGAACCTGAAAGCTGGAAAAAAACCAATGCCCCAGTTTGAAGGCAGTCAGTCAGAGGAATCTTCCCTTACTTGCAGGAGAGTCAGCCAATTTGGTCTGTTCAAGCCTTCAACTGATTGGATGAGGCCCGCCCTCATTAAGGATGACAATTTGTTTTACTTTGTCTACTGATTCAACTGCTAGTCCCACCCCAAAACACCTTCATGGAAACACTCACAATAATGTCTGAACAAATGTGTGGGCACCTGCAAACCCAGTCAAGTTGACACATAAAATTAGCCATCACAGTCAGACTTCAAATTCAGTTAGGATTGGGTATAGTCATTTCAATCTGTATTTCTTTAAAGGATTGACTGTAGGCAGTTTACTCAAAACAATAGCAGCTACTGTTCTTTTAGATATTTGGGAACTGGTAAACCTTTAAGGCTTATAAGTGACAGAAGATAAGATTAAAAGTAAAAATGTCTTCTTACCTCAGTTAAATCAAGACATTATAATTTGACTTTCTTCCTAAACCTAACTGGGATTATGTCTTTAGCTCCTTTAAAGAAAGGTATTCTATCTTTCCTAAACATGAAGAATGTTTTTCTTGTCTTATTTATGGAGAGAGTTTGGAAGTGGGGTGCTTTTTTATTCCAGATCAGTGGGCAAGGCAGAAAAAAAAAAAATCACCTTAGCTGTTTTTTGGCTTTCACTTACTGTAACTCTAATCTCTGGATTAGTGACCCCTAGAATATTCCCTGTAGAATATTCCATGTAGAATAGAATATTCCATGCAGTAAACAGAATTCAAAGCCACTCACACACCAGGTTACAAGATATGATTGTTTATGTAAAATGCCACAGCGGTTATTGCAAACACGGAGTGTGGAATCTAGGAAGGCCATAGCCATGCGTGAGTTTGTGCTTGATTCAGACACAGAGACTCGACTTTTCTAATGATACACACAGATGAGCAAAAGGAGCCCCTCCAGTTCTTATCTGGAAGTCGGTGTCTTCTCCTTCCATAAGTCCCCGCTCACGTGACATCTCTTGCTTAATTGCCCTTTAAACCGTTTTATGGCTTTATAGCAGCCTGTAAAAAGTGATTTTCAAATATGACAGGAGCTGAAAGGCTGAAGGGGAGAGCTACCCAGGAGCTGTGATCTCTACATCAGCTCCCCTAAGAGCTCAGCCTTCCCAGGAAAAGGAGAGGGACAGCAGAGCGCCATGGGGCGATACTCGGGGAGAAGTTTCCGTTTAATCCTCATGTGCGTGGTGAGCATCCTCCTTTTCGTGATGGAGCTCGTGATCTCCCACATAGGCAACTCCCTCTCGCTGACCTCCGATGCTTTTGCGGTGCTCTCGCACTTGGTCTCCATGATCATCGGGCTGTTCGGCGTCAGGGCCAGCAGCATACAACAGCACCGGAAGAGCACGTTTGGCTTTCTCCGGGCTGATGTCGTGGGCGCGTTTGGCAACTCCGTCTTCGCTGTGGCCCTGATGTTCAGCATCCTGGTGGAAGCTGTCAAAAGGTATATTGATCCGCAGAAGACAGAAACGCCGCTGCTGGTGCTCAGCGCTGGAGTCATCGGGCTGCTCTTCAATATTCTCAACTATATCATCTTCTTGGACTGCTGTTACTGCGCGGCGCGGGGGCCCCAGGGAGACGCCGAAGCAGGTAAACGCCTCCTCAGATGTTGTGGTTTGGTCAGAGTCCTGCCAGGTGCTATCTTGGGGGCCCCTGGGGGTGCTGTGGAGTGAGGCCCATTCATTCCCCGAACTTTACTAAAGGCCTTTCTCCAAAGTGTCACTTCCAGTCCAAAGTTCCTTATGAGCCGGGTGGGCAGCTGACCACCTAGGGGTCTTTTTTAGTAACAGGGAATGAAAAATGTGCAGACAGGTAGAGTGATAAACCGTGGCCATAGAGGGAGTCCTTTGCCAGAAAGTGGATTTGCCATGCAAAGCTGTCTCCTTTAATTAGGGACTCCAGATGTGACAGGGCTGTGTTTGGATTTTAAAATAATATTTTAATTTTCTCCCCCCTCAAATGTTCAAAAACTACTAGGCTTCATAACCAGCCCACTTGGAGCAATGGCTCAAAAACCATCGGATGCATAGATAGCCTCTTAAGAATATATTCAAGGAATGTGATGTAAAATGCAGAAAGGAAAAATAAAGATGATCTAGTAAACTTAGCTTTATTTCTGAATTGAAATATTTGTATTTATCGTAGGCATCTGTCTTATTTGAGGAAAAGGAAAGCTATTTACATGTAAATCTTTAGGAGGAACTTAGGAGTGGGTACCAAACTCATTGGATTATCTGTCAAAAGATCAAATTAAATCTCAGAAGAGAACAATACATTGAAAAACATGAAATCCAAAAGATAAGTTATTAGATGGAACCATGTTTCTTTAGTGCCACAAAAGGAATTTTTAAAATATATGTTAAAAGCTTTTTGCAGAAGAGCAATTTTCAGTGCTTTGCTTTTTAAGAAGTCCTATAGCATGAACAGACCAGGTCCAAATCATGGTTTTCCTACAGGGCAGCTGTCAAATTACTTCCCCTGGCTGTGGGCCCACCTGTAATCTGGAGACAATAAGGACTCAATGGGATTCTAAGTGTTTAGCACTTGGTATAGACTATTGTTTTTTAAAGAAATCACAATGCAAGTCTGAATTATGTGATCATCCAGCAATTGAATTCTAATTGCTTATCTGGATTTTAAGAAATTTCAAGATTTTTCTTATTTGACACTGAAAAATTTTTTCTCACTAGTCAGAGGGTCATGTAACTCAACAGGGACCTCAGAGTAAGACTTTGCATTTTTTATTGTATTCCTCCTGTCTTTCCTGACATTGTAAATTTTCCCAGCTGGGAGCAGTCCTATATTCTATCTCTGTCTCAATTTTCCTATTAGTAGAAGATGCATCTTGAAAACACCTATAGTATGTGTTAAGTATTAAAGGGAACAGACAAGAAACTAGAATCTGTATCTTTATTTGATTTAATGAATCAGTTAGGGCCTCATCTTTTGTAAAATATAATAGTTAACTTGAGATCATATACCTTGTTTACATCAGTCATCCTGTACTGGAGGTTCAAGATCATAAAATTCACATATTTGACATAATAAAACAATATTTATTGCTAAGTATAAGTTTAAGGCAAGGAAGCTGATCAAATCAATGGTTAGTATTGGCATTGCTAAACTTACCTTGTGTTTTTAATTCTAATTTTTTCTTTACTTTTGACATATGATATTTACTTGCATATAGTAAAAGCAATGTAGGCAAAGAGTTTGACTCTTTGACCAACATGAAAATTGGTAGATAACTATTGTTCTATTTTTATAAACTGAATTATTATCAGGTAGATCTTAGTTCAGCTCTTGTTTGGGAAGCAGTGATTTCTAATGTTTATGTTCATATTAAGATAAGAAGAGGCTTAAAGACAAGTATTTTACCCTGACCATATGGATTTCTACTGTCTTAATTCTAGAGTATCTATCTCCTTTTGAAATGTTTGATGCTGTATAGTAGTCTTCTTTAAATAATTATAATGATAGGTACTATACCTATGTATAGATGATGCTTTAAGATTCATATTCTATATTTAAATTATTGTTTTGGGTACTACACACACATGTAGCTAGTGCTTTAAGGTCCATGTTCTATGTTAGAATTATTACTTGGGTAGCTTTTGGTATTGCTGAATTCTTCTCTTAGAACTTTTAAAGTGTTTAAATCCTCCTAGTGATTTTAGGATAGCTACTTAGTGTCATAGCATTTATGTTTTGAGTTACATATTTATCACTTTCCCTAAAACATATATTTTAATATCCTTCAAATTAGCTAAATAAACTTCAAGCATCAATATTTGGCTTAGATAAATCTCATAAACTGTCATCAACCCAATTATCTCCTAGTCTAAGAAAAAATGTGATTAATCCATACATATAGATTTATACCAGGTGGTATAAAATATGAAGAAAAAATGATTCTTGATTTCAAAAGATTCAACCCAAATTTAGGAATAAGATTTTCTATATACAAAATTCTAACTTGACGGGTTTGGAAGTCCTGTAAACTAAAGAACTATGGAATCTCCTGGCTGAGGGATCAGAATCAAAGAATCCATCACTTTTTTTTGGTGGAATGTGTTGACCAAAAAGAATTTTTTACTTAGCAAGCCTTCAGTCTCTTTCAGTTCTGTGGATCTTTTACTTGCTTTGTTTTATCTATGTGGTGTAGGAATTGATACCAGTTATATTTTATGTCTGAGATCATAGAAAGGTAAAAAGAAGACCACTAATTTATTCTAAATGTGAACAAAACAGAATGTATGTACTGTTAAGACTTGAAAACCTCTCTGGTATTCATGGAGTAAGATATGTTGAAGAATTGGACAGACAGAGGGAGTCAGAAATTTAAAAAATCACCTGGGACTAAAGAATATCTGGAAGACTAAGCTGAGACTGGGATTGTGGAAGCCTTATACCAGTATCTAGCCAGTTGGGAGTCCATCCCCAACAGGAAAAAATGATGGTGGAGCAGATATTTTTAGCTAAAGAAAAAGGAAAATGAAAAAAGTAAAAATTGCAAGCACAAAAGAAAAAAACAAACAGGTTTAAGGTTCAAATTTGGATGGCTATATATGTGAGATTATTAGGAGGAAGAGAGTTATAAATGTGTTTGAAGAAAGGGAAGAGGAGTGAAAACAAGTCAGTTCAGATCCTAGGAAATACAGGGCACCCACTACTTTCTTTCTCTAGACTTAGGGATGAAATTTGTTTTGTTTGCAGTTTTTCCTACTCCTTGTTTACTTTATTAGATTTTCCTTGACTGTCACCTTATCTTTTATGTTTGCATTTTCTTTTCGACTATGTTTCATATTTGAGTTTTCTTTAAAATTTAACAGACAGAACTCTCTTTTCCTTGACTTGTGTTTGAACCATACTTTGCCTTACATTGGTGCCTCAGGGGGTAAAGAATCTGCCTGCGGTGCAGGAGACGAGGGTTAGATCCCTGGGTTGGGACGATCCCCTGGAGAAGGGAATATCTACCCAGTCCAGTATTCTTGCCTAGAAAATTCCATGGACCGAGGAGCCTGGCGGGCTACAGTCCATGGGGTTGCAAACAGCTGAACATGACTGAGCGACCAACACTTGCTTTACGCTGGCTTTTATTTTAAACCAAAAGTGATTTTGTGCAGCTCTGTCTAGGATAGGCTTGCCATTTACACAATTTATGAATGACACATTTAGGTCTGAAATATGTACTTATTATTAAACATTTTTTTAAGCAAATGCCTTCCCTGTGAATTTATTTACTTAAATATTGTTTTGATTTCCAAACTCTGTTCTTTCCCTCTCTCTTCCTCTCTTTGCCACTCTCTCTCATCACCTTTCTGGCATTATATTTCCTCAACCAACCTGCTAGGGGCAGTGACAGCCTGTATGTAATCGGTGAAGTTCGTTGCTGGGGAGGCTTTTAACAGGCTGCTGATTGGCTGTTTTCCCAAGCTTCTCATTAAGTCCGAGTGCTACAGCCTAATGGGAACATTTCACCCGGACAGTCCCGTAGACACTGAAAGCAAATGGGGTTTGTTTTCCTTTAAGGGCACATTTTATCCAGAAACAAGCAAAGTAGGCAGGGCTCTGAGGGTGTAGGAGGGGCAGAGAGGAATCGGCTGCCTCCCTCCCAGCAGCAGGTACCACGGAAGAAGTCAGAGAGCAGAGACTGCACAAGGGAAGCTGGCTTTTCAAACTGGAAGGGGAAAGATTTTCCAGGTATTGGTTCCCTGGTTTTCTTTCTACTTTGGAGGCAAGATTGGAATGATCGGGCATTTACAATAATTATTAAACGATTTTAGGAAGCGTGATGCTTAATTCCCAGAAGCTGTTACTTTTTGATTTGTCTATATCTAATTGTTTTCCAAGTGTTTTGAACAATTCACTTCCGCAGGAGCACTCAGTGAACACACACCTGTCACAGATCACAGCATCTCCCCTAGAGCAGATGCTTCCCAGATTACCTTAGGTCTCTTTCTGTACATTCAGGCCAGCTTGCTTAGCCTCTCACCTCTCTTGCTGCGCAGGGATGGGGTTCTGGGTCAGTTACAGGGAATGAGTAAGAAAGATTAAAGGGAGACTGAAAACTATGTGCTGTTTCACGTTTGTGAAATCAAATTCAACTGAAGGGAAAAAAAAGAAGATAAAGAGACTCGTTCCTTGTTCTCAGCCATATTCATTCAATATGCAGAGACCACTCTGACTGACTCCTGAGTTAAATCTTAATGAAAACCAAATTTTTTCTTGATATCTGTGAGTCGTCAAGCGCTGTGAAAGTGAAGGAGGATAAGTGCAGCAGTGTATCATATACATTTGGAGAATTATATGTTTTGTGAAATAATTAGCAAGAAGGAATACTTGGTATTTGCCTTTTTCAGATAAGGAAACAAAAATGTAGAGTCAGGACCACAACCATGCAGTGAGTGAATGGTTGCGGACAAAGAATTACAAGGCTAAATCTAAGGCTTTAATTATAAACCTACTCTACTTAATCAAAGAAAGAAAAAAATAACGAACAGTGAAAAATTATTTGGAAATAATCACAAAATGGCATGTCAAAAAGTACGAATCAGGGAATTCCCTGGTGGTCCAGTGGTTAGGACTTG